AAGAAATTATGACCAGAATGTTCCTTTAGTGCCACACATGTCCAGATTATTTAATAAAAACAGAGAGCTTTCCAGGTCTGGTCAATACTCTTACCCTGAATCTCAGGATATTTTGCCATGTAGAGGAAAGCCCAGCGCAGGGTGGTGGATGTGGTTTCAGATCCAGCCACAAAAAGATCCAAAACACAAATAACCAGATTTTCCTCATCAAAAGTGTTGTCGTCCTGCCCCTTATTCTGAAAATACATGCAAACACACATTTTAAAACATTGGAAATGATTTAAAAAAGTGCCTTTATTGGCAGTGTTACTGGAAATATATGGCAAGTTATGATGGCAAATTAAGTCTAATCTCCTACCATTTGAATCTCACTGAGGTAACAATCAATGTAGTCACGTGTTTCTGAGGGATCCCAGGTCTTCTTGTGCTCATTTAGCTCTACTCGTATGAAATCCTTCACTTCATTCCACATCTGCCCGACACTCTGATGTGGACCTGGTAAACGTCTCATCAGGACAGGAAATGCATTGTAGAGCTACAAACGGAAACAGATTGGAACAATACATTCACGTTAGTGCAAATGCCATGCCTCAGTCTAAATAAACTACTGGAAAGTACAGCACCAGTCAAAAGTTTGGTTAATAATACAGAACCAGACTTAGGGGTCGGGCAGCCAACAAAGTGGACATATTATAAGAGTTTTATTAAGTCATATTTCCACTTTGTGATCCAAAGGTCTCAAAGTTTTGTATGCTATACATTTTTCTTATGAATTGAATATTAACTGCAAACTCAAACTCAATCATTTTATAGGTTACTGAATAAAATACATGTTTTTTCTTAAAGTTCTGATGGTGGAGAGACATGCTGGGAAAAAGATTACTTGTTCTTTCTAACCTTTTGTGTGCTAAGCTGTTAACTAAGCAACAATTTGGTTTTTGGCAACAGTTTTGCGGGATTTCTAATCATGCTTACCAAGCAAAATAAAACAGTGGTGGTCAAAAGAAAGAGGAGGAGACAAGACTCCAGGATGAATATAGCATCATGACTTTGGATTTGAGCATTGCTGTCAGTGATTTTGCTGAGTACAAAACCTAAAAGATAAAGTTCTGATTGGGAGAATCGTTTGTCTTTGTGTGTGTGTGTGTTTTTTTAAGTGTTTTTCTTTATTGCTATTGTAAAAATGTGTCCATCAATATAAAACCTCTATAGTTTCATATATACAGTTTGGATATTCTCTCCTACTCTACATGTCACTGCTCAGTGTTAATTTCCTGTTTGTAATCACCTCTTTTCTCGTCTAAAAGGTGACTATTTTTCTTTTACTGCGTCAGACACTTCAGTACGTATGCTTCTAGTAGTGAGGAGACTTAATATTGATAAACTTTACATACCTGTGTTGAAAAAGATCATTCACTGACATTTAAAAAAAACATTCCTGTAAGGAATAAATGGCAGAGCTGCGGCCCGTGAATTTAGGATGTGATCAGTATATTTAAATGCTGTACCTGTCCCCAAATGGAGCCTTCAATCTGGAATCCTTTATCAAACAGTTGCATCATTTTAATGAACTTCTCTTCACCGTACTCAAAGCGATGGCCAAACACCAGGGAGCAGATGATGTTGGAGACAG